GCTTACAGGCTAAGTCTAATGAGTTGCTGTAGTCATTAGTGGACATTGATAATATGACTTAGTTCCCAGGTGGGTGATTTTTTTTAATACTATAATCACTCACACTCCTCAATTTTAAACCCTGAAGGAAAAGGAAGAAGAAAGCAGCCTGCCAATAAATTAAGCAACTTCTTAACAATAGCAAGCAGTCTATCTTGCGTCATTGTGCAGGGCTCATTATGAAAGCAGGGCTCATTACAAGTTTTTACTCATACATGGTGCACAGGCTACATAGAAACAGAACATGAATACCCTTATCAGGTCCATCGGAATCATTTTACCAAAACACATTGATAGTCTTCCTGCCTGCCTCTCCTAATGACAGATAACATCTGATCTTTCTGAGAGGTATAACCTCCCCATTATACGCTCTAAGTGTGCATTATCACAAAGGCAAGATGACTTCTTTTTGACCCCAGCTACTAATTAGCTTATGCTATGACATATAAGAACAAAAAAAGAAAAGTTTTATAATATGTTAGCAAGTGTAACTACCAATGTTATTTTTCTTTTCAACTGTATGTCCAGTCACTTGAGTCCTGCTGCCTTCTGCTATTTGTTCAAATGGGTACAATACAGCTAAATGTACTTGAAGCACCTCAAGTTTCATTGTCTTTTAGCATATTCTATATTTCACTTCTCTCTAACTGAAAACTCAAAAGTGTCGAGATAGACCACACAATTTTGTCATTTTCTTATTCTGGTTTTCACCATTGTGCCAGGTTGTAAATCACGTAAGACATTAAATAATGAACTTGCTTCACTGCAACAAATGTCTCCAGAAGCAGAAATGGGCTTTACAGATACACAGTTAAGAACTTCCACTTCAGGTAACTTTGGGTAATATAGACAGCCCTGTGAAATACTTGCTACTGTTAAGAAAAAATTATCTGTCGTTGTGTTAGTATTAGACAGACCTGAACCAAAACCCAAGAGATAAATACAAATTTAAAATACTTTGAATCTTCCTAGGGATTTACACTGCTTTATTCACTATATTACTTCTGAAGTCTATGAATGAACTTCACAGTCTGGACTCAGCAGTTCACATTTGTTGTACCAGTGCTAATATTTGCAATGAGTTATTGAAGACCAAGTTGGAAAAGATGTCTCACCCACACTAAATTTTAACAGCTTCCTCATACAGTGCTGTACATCTTCCTTATAGGTTTTCCAAAGGAGAATCCTTTGAAATACTGAAATTTAGGCAAAGGGATAAATTTTTCCATCATTAGCCTTGTAAAGACCATAACAGTCCTTTCCTCTTCTCCTTAAAAGATTGTTCCCAGAGTCACCCCCACAGCAAAAGGATACAAGCTAGTTCTAAGGTGTCTCTTTTTTTTCCCCATATTCTCCAAATCACAAAGGTTAGTCAACACAGTCATTCTGGAGAGTATGATCTGTGTTCATCTAAAGGCTTTCAGGTAGTCAAATAACATTAATTATAAATAGCTCAACAGTGGTAGCCAGGTGCTGACTGCCACACAGCACAGCAGTCAGGACCCATGAAGGTTGCCACGTCAGTCTGAAATCACAGTTGTAAAGGCAGATGCAGCATTTGGTGCAATGCAGAAATGCATTGTGCCAGCCAGAGAGATGTCACTTTTGAGGTTATTGACATGAAAGCACGAAAGCATGACTTTAACCCCGTGACATTATCTTCAAGCAGTGGGTTCACTGTTCTTCTGTGCAAGTCAGTTACAATCAGAGTTTTCTGTATCAGCATACCCAACTACATCCCTGGAGCTAGTTTCACCCCAGACATATAAAAGAATCCAAAGGAACTTGTTCTTTATTGACAAATCTGTTTCAATATTTCACATCACTTGGCCTTAAGACATTCCCATGTTAAGCTGCTAAACCCATTTAATTTACCTTTGCAAAATGATTTCCAGTTACCCAGTGTAATGCCTGAGGACATACTGAAATCTCAAGAGATGATAAGATTCATTCAGAATAGCTGCCTTCTAATGACACTGTATGCCCATTTTTTATTTTAGTGTCACCACTTTTGAGGTAAAAGAAGCAAAAATATTGTGTAAAATAATTAAAACTGGTACATAGCTTAGGTTAGAGAATAAGGGCTATTTAGAAATCTCTGCACTGCAGTTGATATGCAGGAGTCTACCATCCTTTAGAGATGTTTTGCTTGTTGCACCTATTACGTATTCTGCTTTCTGGTAGAAAAGAAAGCATTTTGCATATCTTTTAATAGTGACATTCCCATCAAGGGAATACAAATTTCTTGCTTTTATTATTTTTTTTAAATCCTTTAATTAGCCAGCACACATTATACCTAAGGAGTTGAGGGAAATACAGATCTCTGCAACGCTGCCATGAGAAACACATCTGAACCAATATCCCTGAAAAGACTTCACCCTGCCAACCAAACATGTTCACCTGTCTTTTGCAGACAGATGAAGGATGTGAGCCAAGCCAGCCTTGATCCAAAAGCTGTATAGTCACAGCAGCACAATACCGCTTCCTGTTGAAGCGGATTTGGTTTCTTAGCTCCTGCACCAGGCTGCCCAAAGGTACAGGCACACAGCTTCTGACTCAGAACTGACCTGTCTTCTGTGAACACAGAGCACAAGCAGGGAGAGCCCACATCTATCTGCAAAGAAAGAAAGAGAAAGAATGTGTTTTGCTTAGGAGAGGCAGAAGTGTATTGCTGCCTACACGTGTGGGCAAGGGATAAGGATCAATTAAGCAATGGGACGTTGTCTGTAGAAGACCAATTACAAGAAAACTGAACAAGTTCAGGCTGAAAAGTACGAGAATGCTTTTTCCATCACACCAATGAGATACTGGAATAGCTTCTTAAAAGAAATACTAAGCTTATAAATTTGATTCACTTATAGAAAGGGTTTTATAACACAGCTGGGTGGATAGACACAAGAATTCAGGGGATAGCTCTGTATTCTTTCAAATAGCCTGAAATCACAGCGGATCTCTGGTGTGACACACCAGAGGGAAACACATTGTGCTCTTGGAAGGCTCAGATACAAATTCAGGTCTGAAATATGAGGGTGAAGTTCAACTTTGGGATATATTCCTTACATATCTCGCATTTCTTATCTAATCTCTATTTCTCCAGGCTAACTGATAGGTCTCTACATGGGATCCTAGAAGATACTCTGCTGAAATCTTGTAAGATACATAATACTTTCCTTGCCTAGGTTTTAATCCATGAAAGATAACTCTATCCTTGATAGACCTTTATTGCATGGTATTCCATTATAGAATCATAGAATCATTTAGGTTGGAAAGGATCCCCTAAAGATCATCGAGCCCAACCATAAATCTAGCACTGCCAAGACCACCACTAAACCATGTCTCTAAGCACCACGTCTTTTAAATGCCTCCAGGGATGGTGACTCAACCACTTTCCTGGGCAGCTTGTTCCAGTGCCATTCTCTATGGATCCTTCTTCTGGCCCTTTTTGTAGATGGGTATCACATTTGCTAACTTCCAGTCAACTGGGACCACCCTGGTTAGCCAGGACTGCTGATAAATGATGGAAAGTGGCTTGGGGAGCAGTTCCCCCAGCTGCCTCAGGACCCTTGGGTGGATCCCATCCAACCACATAGACTTTTGTGTCTCTAAGTGGTGTAGCAGGTCACTAACCATTTCGCCTTGGATTATGGGGCTTCATTCTGCTCCCCATCCCTGTCTTCCAGCTCAGGGGTCTGGGTACCCAGAGAACAACTGATCTTACTAATAAAGACTGAGGCAAAGAGGACATTAAGTACCTCAGCCTTTTCCTCATCCTTGATCACTGTGTTTCCCCCTGCATCCAATAAAGCATTGGGATTCTCTTTAGCCCTCCTTTTGTTGCTAATGTATTTTCAGAAACATTCTTTATTGTCTTTTACAGCAGTAGCCAGATTAAGATGTAGCTGGGCTCTTTCTCCCTGCATAACCTCACAGCATCCTTGTAGTCCTCCTGAGTTGCCTGCCCCTTCTTCCAAAGTTTTTTCTTCCTGAGTTCCAGTCAAATCTCTCCATTCAGCCAGGCTGGGCTTCTTCCCTGCTGGCTTGTCTTTTGGCACATTTGGACGGCCTGCTCCGATGCCTTTAAGATTTCCTCCTCAAAGAATCTCCAGACTTCCTGGACCTCTTTGCCCTTCAAGACTGCCTCCCAAGGGACTCTGAACAGGCCAAAGTCTGCCCTCCAGTAGTCCAAGGTAGCAGTTCTGCTGAACTCCTTACTTCTCTAAAAATCGAGAACTCCATCATTTCCTCATTGCTATGCCCAAGATGGCCTCCAACCATCATATCACCCACAAGTCCTTCTCTGCTCACAAGCAGCTGGTCCAGCGGGGCACTTCCCTAGTTGGCATTTTCCATTTATCCCTACATATTTTATATTTATTTCCTTCAAAATTGATTCTAAAGCTTTGCATACTAGACCAGACTAAAAATTCTGTAGTTCTTAAATGGCAATTATTTTCTAATTTTAACTGTATACTTTATCATCATTCATTTACCTAAAATTTGCAATAGTAAATCTGTAAATTAATATACCAGTAAGTTCAGAATTCTTGGCTGAATATTTATTTCAGAATTCCCACCTATCATTTTCTGTTTGCTCACCTGTTTTTAATTTTGGAGGAAGAAACAAGAACTTAGTATCATTTGAAAATTTACAGAGATGATGGGCAAATGTCTTGCAAATCTGTTACCTCTCACAAACATTTCTTCAAGATCTTAAGTTCTAATTTTCTTTGCACACATTTTTCATTATTCTAGGGAATACATTTAACCTCTATTTACAATTTTTTGGAGACATAGTTTCTGTTTCCAGGACTCTGAAATGATTGGGAAAGAGCCTGATCTTCACACTGCCCATTGTGAGGGCTCTGTGAACAGTTTTTTTCCCCACTGACTCAGCTGATCAACAAACCACCAAGCTGTTTATCCTAACTTCCCAGAAGTACAGTCTTCTTCACATGGCCTACCTGAATCAGCGTCTCCAGCTCTAGCTGGGTTACACAAACATGCTCCCGAAGAAAGTCAGCCTTCTCTAGTGCGATTGTGTTCTTCTGCCTGCTTTCAAAAGGCTGCTCCAGGGCACGGAAGACGAGTCCTCCCGTCACCAGGTAAACTACCACCACGACAAAGATGGCCACCACTGTTTTCCATTTCATGACCGTCTGCAGGCCTTGAGAAGGGGCTTCCATGGTGGCAACAACAGTGGCTCGGGAGGAAATGGAGAGTCGTGGAGCTGGGTAATGCCCGTTATTTAGTTTTGGGCTCAGTTTCACAAGCTGGCAGTGGTGAGGGACCAGCCACTGAAACATAAAGTAAAAAAATCTTATTCAAAATCAAATCCCTAAGGGTATGACCTTGATCTTCATATAGAACTTTCCTAAATACCATTTTCAAGACTCTCACATAAACCATGTTATTCACATAGATGCAATTCTTCTTACCTGGAAGGCTCCATGTGTGTTTTGTTCATCCATACACAAGCCACCTCAAGGGTTTGCTTCACCCATTACCTCTAGAACTGGACAGGCCAGATGCATATGCAAAAATTTTAAAGAATGCAGAAAACCATTTATCTAATAAGAACATGAAAATTTTGACTAGTTAGGATATAAATTACACAAGGTGGTGTTTGGTGAGGGACCCTGGCAGTAATTTATATCCTTAAAACATAAAACTAATAGTATTAATAGTGCTAGAAAATTGAACTGTTAATGATCAGTGATCACTACCTGGCCTGGTATAGACAGAAACAGAAAATGCTTTGCAAACCACAATGCTGTTTGGCTCACCAACATCAGCAAGCCCATATTATTTACATGGATTCATAAAACCATCACCTCTGAAAATGTTCTTAAAGCCTGGGAGCTTCACAAATTTCAGCATAAATCATTCTTCCACCAAAGCATACTAGGTATCTGAGGTCAAAGTCACTCACATGCCAAGCACAACGATGGACCTCCCAGCTTGGGACTGAGACACTGTATAGCCCATGTGACCTTAGCAGTACATCAGAGCTAATAAGCCCTGACTTCCAGCCAGACTCATTAGCTTGACCACTGTGTCAAGCTACCAAGGCATCCGATCAAAGCTGGCTCACCTCCAAGTAATTCAGGAGTCTCAGCATCACACTTGCCCACTCTCTGCTGCCAGTGTTAGCAATGGCAAGATGAGGCTGGGTTCCTCAGCATCCACTGGTATAATGGTACCACATATAGGCTTTAAAGATGCTGCATTCATTAAAACCAAATCCCTGCAGTAATCTTACCACAGTGCAGTTGTCACTGGCCTGTAATTTCTTTGAAACCAGATTGATTTATTTCACATCAGAACTAAATCAGATTACAATTAAAATACAGTCACTTTAGCTGCATTCTCTGAACTTATTCCCAAAGTGTCTTTGCTGTTTTGCTAAGAAATTAAAGCAGAAGGATTGACAACACTGAGCAGAGTGGCACTGTAAACTGATTCTGTACAATCTGAACATACAACATGATTGCACCTTGAGCTTGAAGTGGCTTTTTCCCAATAGAAACCATTTTATGATACTGAGTAATTTAAGAACTCAGCTGTTTACTACAGTCACGTTTTCCTAGAAGTGATAGCTCTCTGAAGCATTCCATCGAGGATAGATCTTCTAGCTTACTTGCTAACCAATAAACTACAAGAAATCTATATTTGCTTTGCATTTACAGTTAATATTTCTTCTCATATGTGACTTTGAGGCTCCAGGTACTAAATGGATTAGAAAGGATCCAGGATCAGAGGAAGAGCCTCTGTGGTTGATCCCCTTTGTGTGTATCTTCAGTTTTGCAACACCCTGTGGCACAGCTGCTCAGTTTGACCATCAAAAGGTCATTATGGTTTGCAACACTTACCAGGCAGGATGGAGTGACATCAAACTTAAAAGGATACTTTTTCTTACCTCCAGGTATGTTTCACCTAAGTTCTAAGAACTTGAAGTGGCAATGGGGAGAAGAGTGGTAGTATTAGAAAGAAGTCACATTTTTTTGTAAAAGAGAACAATTATTTCATTCTCTAAATCTCCTAAAAGGAAACAATTATTGTAATAGATACAGTAAGTTTCAGCA